CTGATTGAATATTTCTACATTCGTGAACGACCGCACATCGTTTGATCGATGATCAATCGCTGAAATACGATGCTTATTTAGCGAGCGTCGCTGAGTCCATAGGTTTCTTAGTCTCTCTGACGAACGAGGCTTAAATTCAACTTTGGGTTCTGAAGCGAAAATAGTTGCTCTACGGTCTAAATATTCGTGTAAACGGACGTGGTAAGGTTTAAGTTTTGTCTGACACGGTTTTGATAAGTCTGGTGTGAAGGTCGAATCAGGTGTTAAGGTATCTTTATTAAAGTCTGGATCCGAGGCTATTGACGACGGACATTCGCGTTTAAGAGACGACGAAAGTCCTCCAGAGAGTTTTCCGAAACAGGGTTACACTTTCTACAAGTGGGTTTGTAAGTGTCAACGGCACCACAGCCGTAACAAAATACACGACGCGCTTTTAAACATTCTTGATATCTGTGTCCCTTTTCCTCGCAGTTCCAGCAAATCAATTTATCCGGAGAATGTATAGCATTTAAGTCCCCAGTTTCTACCAGATTCTGCGTAAGATCCGTCATTGTGGTATCTTCATGGACTACCTCGTTGACTACTCGTTGTGGTTTAATTGGTCGAGAAATTGGCTTGAAAAGGTAATTCGAATAGAACGCTTCATGCTTGTGACATTCTTTGCGTAATGTCGCAAGACTCGGAGTATTTACATGAAGTAGTTTGTGTCTCAATTCTGGTTTTAGGTTGCGCTTGACATTGATCACTAACTCTGAGTCTGACATTGGTTCCCGTAACGCATCTGACAAGGCAAGAATCGTATCTAAAAATTCATCATAGCTTTCGGACCCTCGTTGTTTGCGTCTTCTAACCATGTCTTTTATGTCTTCGTCTGATCTGTGGTCTTTATATCTTTCTCGCAAGCATGTGCACAAATTGAACCAGCCTGTTTGGTCAGTCGTACGGTGATATCTCCAAAAAAATGTCAAAGCTGGTCCGGTAAACAGCAAATTGGCAAACTGATATAACAACCTAAAATTGCCATTTAAACATTGTGAAGTCAAGCAAATTATGCGATATATAAAGTCGTCGACTGGGATATCACTAGCCACGCCTGAAAATCTGACTTCCCAATTGGATATGACACTCGATATTTTGTCGGGCCTATCGACTGCGTATTCACGTCTCGCATCAGACTGAACACTAGCATTCGGTAATCTCGAAGCGTTGTTCGATCGCGGTGCATCTCGTTGAAAATCATTTTCCCATTCTAATTGGGGTTCCTCACGTGGCTCCTGATACAAGTTTAAATTTCTAACTGCGGCATTTAATTCTTCGGACAAATAGGACGCCATTTCAGCCTTATGGGCTTCCAATGTCTTACTGATAAGCAACTGCACACGCTGTTCTGACAAACCAAGCGATTCCCTAAAAGGTTGGGTGTTTCGCGATCCCGCTTGCTCCCGAGAGTTGGTCGGCCCACTAGGACGACCTCTTGCGGCTTTAGGAGTATTTCGAGCATTACTTCGGGTAATAGTTCGGGACCGAGGAACGGCCCCCGTGTTTGTAGGTCTTTGTGAAGCTACTGCATTCAAGTCACTGCTATCTTCGTATAATTCTCGACTACAAACTCGTTTGCAAGTGGGACATGTCTCATTGCTTCTTAACCATTGATTTAGGCAATTTCGATGAAATTTATGAGCACATGGAGTTTCTACAGTGTCTGCATCACCAATCGATGATTCATTGCAAATAGTACACACTGCAGGTGCTTCGCTGAGAGTTAACTTTTCCTGACTACGAACGACAGCCATCATCAATAAATCGATTATAATTGGTCAAAGAGTTAAATGGGAATTGATCCCGAAAGGATTTTAATTTTAAAATATATACGAGAAGCGCTAATGAGCGATAATTATGAAAATCGGAAACGGTTTTACGGCAGAAAGAAAAGGTTTAAGGCACTTCGATGCTAATACAACAATATTATAACATTTTATAACATGGGACTTATCCTTAGGTAAATACATCGCATAATCTAAATCTCTATGTTTGATATATCTTCTTACGAAAAGCAAGCAAACTATTTTACTAAATCAGTGTTGAGTTGTCTGAACTAAGTTGAAGAGGGACGAGTCGAAATAACCCAACCAGAACAATTCTCAATTCAACTAGAACAAACGGAATGTTATTATGCCCTACCAACCTTCTATCACTTGGTAGAGAACCGACTCGAAATCAGATCTAAAAGTCCTAAATGAATCAAAAGTGGCGAAAACATAATAAGATTTCTAGTGGAACAGTATAACTGATCCACTAAATAAATCGCTCGACTATTTACTTCCTGGTCTGGCTCCAACAAAAGACATCAGAATACCAGCAGTTCCGAGCGAGAATAAATGTCGTCACGGAAACTTAAATTATTTGGATGGTATATTGTGATAAGGTTAGGAAGAAAGGTGAAAGCTAGCATGGATTTAACGTAGGATCGTCCACATTGGCTCGTGACAAATCATGTTACAAACAATGCTATCGGCTCTCTCCTAAGTTCTTGTGGGCCAATTCCGGATCTCGGGGGTGAGAAGCGGAAGAGCAGAAGTTCGAGCCCCACGTTGGGCGCCATTTTTCTTATTATTATATCATGTAACGAACACGACGGATACGCTGGGCGCGTCTTGCCTAACACTCGTGTTGTGCATTGGGAGCGTACTTCGTCTACGGGTTCCGACCGTGCTCAGGGAAGTGGCGTGGGTTCTTTTGCTCCCTAACACACTCGACGCGTCAAGTATAATAAAAAAAAAAAAGGTAGACAGAGTTAAGGTATGACGGAATACCACGATATATAAGGAGCGACTACGATCTGCAAGCAGAATATATCATATAGAGCCGAGGAGCTAAGATGTTGGCTACCCTCGGTCTTCACCCACCCTGCCTGTAGCTGCATCTGCGATTGTCGTTGCAACTACCCTTTTGTATGCGATACTATTTACCTAAGGTGCCCAAAAAGGAATTAAGATTTCATTTTATCATATAATTGTATTCAAAGAAGATTTAAACTTATGATCGTACTTCATTATACATTACGTGAGAAGAACAACGTTTTTCTTTTTTTTTTTTTTATAAAACTAAACTCAATCTGGGCAAAAACACACATGAATGAGATTACACTTCGAAACTAATATGAAGTTAAATCACTGCTGATCTGAATGATCCACAAAAGTTATCTGTAATTACGAAGGCTGATTAGGAGTACACCCGCTGACTATAACCGCGATTCAAACAATACGTACAATTCGATATGTTGGCTTATTACCTTTTGTTCTTTCACACAGTACTCACTACTTTAGTATGATCCAACGATGTCAGCAGGCCTGTTGACGACGATGATGTGCTGTGGACTCTTAATTTGAGCTGTGTAACGTAGAAATATAGTAGTCAGCGACATATACATGCTAAATCAGGATCGAAAGACAATGTCAGCGATATAAAACGGAAAGAATTGCAATTTAAATTTCATGTGTACTTATGCCCTTCGCTTATACCTACGGCCAGTATGCCGTTTAACAATTATATCATATGTTGTAAATCCGAGTGAGGGTGCGCACTGGTTAGCTATCCACCAGATCTGCGCTCAAGAATGTCCGGGAATCAATGGGTCGAACACGTGGTCACGTTGGTCTGCCTGTGCGTGCAGCACGAACTATTGGTTAGCGAGGTTCAAAGCTTATCTGCAGAAAATGAGACGATGCTGAAATCTTGGTCCGGCCTTAGGAAATTCGCTCCCTGCTACCAGTGTAGATTGTCGCTTTTTGGTGCTTTGGGGCCTTGGCTTTGGCTCCGATAAGTGTCCGAATTCTGAAAATTTTCTTTATTCCGGTAAAATGTTATAGCCAATTTTTTTTTTTTTTTAGCTTGAGTGCCGATACACGTGGGTTTATTACGCCCACGTGAAAAATTGAATTTTATAATTTTTAAAGCAATCTAAACCGACTGTACTCGTTGGCGATTAAAATGGAAAAGAATGACGCCTCGCCAAAACTAAAAGAGGCAATTAAGCATTCACCCAAGACACGATATTTTCATTCGCAACGGCGTCATTAACATAGGTCATGGTCACTCTGGTTATGTTATTAACCTCCGCTGATTATATGTAATTGCATAAATATTATGGTGCAGTGGTGCCTATTCAAGCTGATTGCGATCAGCTGATCATGCCAATGGCAATGTATGTTTATGTTTACAGAAATAAAACTCATCACCCCATCACAAGAGTAAGCGGTTCAAAAATACATCATATGTATATCTTACTCCCTTACTCGCGAGTTTGGACCAGATGCCACCGATACATTTTGTGTCTACTTCTGGTACTCATGTCTAGTCTATATGTTGTTTGGTTAGTGATAGTATTATACTATCTCCCGGCGTTCGCCGAAAGAAAATGTATTTCACTCTATTCCTATTTGAAATGAATAGTAGGCAGCAGGAAACACCTCCATAAAGTATTTACATTGTTGGTCAAGATAAAGAGCTGTGTCAATCTATATTTGTCTGTCCGACAGTGCGAACAAAAATATGTATAAGTGCACATAAAAAATGACTGCAAAATCCAAAAACCAATCAATAAAATAAAAAACAAGGTACTTCTTAAAAATTTTTAAAGTTTTCTTACCCTCGCTCAGAGCTTTGCGTAGCAGCAACTTATCTTTTGGATGGAGCGAGGGGCCGCAAACAGGTAATTTGTAACCCACCCGATTTAATGGGCAGATTTTTCCACATTTAAAATGCGGTCTTTAAAGCAAACATTGCGTTTGCGTATATAGGAGCGCCTTAAATCATATTTAACAACTATAATTGACGGTAATAAACATAATTGAAAAAAAAAAAAGAATTTCAAACGATTGAATGCGCTAGATTAAGGGTACCTTATAATCTTCCCACTTAGTTGCTTTGAATCTATCTTTATAAAGGAATGTGCAAAATATGCAAATGTAAATATTAACAAGAATATAACACTTTTTCAGAAGTCAATCATTTAAAGAGGACGACGGTACATGGAAAGGCAATGATGATGGGAAAGTTGTGAACAATCAACCACAACGGGTAATGGACGATAGAAGTGGAATGATGGCTCAATCTGGGTATATTGGCAGGTTGGTTAATCCGCTACTGAATTTTGATGTTGAACTTATTATTTGTTTACCCTGAACACATTAAAAATGGGTATAAGCAAAGACAATATAAACACTACGATGAGTAACGCCCAGATATTTGAATGCGACGCAAAATTTCTAGCCTGGCCTTTCATCTGGCCTTTGAGGCTTCGTACGGCATGCCTGCCGACTGGTTGTTCGTTCTCCAAAGACCAGACGAACGAATGCCCAAGTCGCGGCTTGCTGATGCTGACACGAGCTACGAAGTTAGTCGCCAGCCTGCCTTCAGCAAAGCTGGTCGATGCTACTCTGCGTCGCTTCGTTTTCGAAGTACATTGAGCGAAAAAGTTTAGAACTTACGATCGACGCAAACTGCTTGTGCTTTATCCATGAAATGCATGCTTTATTTAAATGATATATTACCCTAGAAATAAACGATTAATTGTACAGGAAAATTTAAGAACTTATATAGTTTTTACACAAGGCACTTCTTGCGCAATAAATATGTTAAGAAAATAGCACACATAGATTGATTTCACTTTTCTTTTTGGACAGTGTATGCTCGAGAAAAGTTCTTGTCTCAGCCAATAGCGTGCGTGCACCTTTCGTTGTATGCGTGATTTATACATGCATAAGAACTTTAAGTATGTATGTATGTGTTGTTATTCACTGCTCTGGCTTCAGCTGGCAAGAAATTAATTTTGTTAGTTTTCTAGCGCAGATCATGACCTATCCCAAATTTATGTTGATATATGAATGCATTTTGTGTACTGAGGTTGGCTCCGCAGAAAATATGTATTTCTAAGTCGATGCAAATATTTACATAATTTCTTTAAATTAAATTAATATTATTTTTATTCTCCAATTAAGAAATAAAAGAGTGCTAAAAATACAATTACATTTCAAGTCGACTCGAAGGTCATATTTAGTTATGACTCCATTATAATTATAATGGCCTCCTCGCGGTGTTCCCTGCGTACTTTGTTCTTTATAATTCGAACAAAAAATAATAAAATAAAAAAAAAATAAAAATTAATTAAATTAATCTTTGAAAACAACAAATTTGCACTTTTATTTCCTTAATTTATTTTGTATTACTTAAAAATAATAATAATTTAAATAATAATTTAAAATATAAAAAATTACATAAATATTTGCATCGACTTAAAAATACAAATATTTTTGTACTGAGCTAACCTCAGTACACAAAAGCGTTCATATTTCAACAGAAATTTTGATTAGCTCGTGATCTGCGCTAAAAACTAAGAAAATTGTTTCTTTGGCAGCCAGAGACTTTGCCAGAGCAGTGAATAACAACACATTCAAATATGCTGTTATGTATGTATAAATTAGTGCATTAATGTCTGCAACTTTGGGTTTGCCGGTTGCATGTAAAAATGCATATAAAAAATGAGTTAACTAACGGGAGACTTTAAGGGACGATACGTCGCGCTTTTATTGTTTTCTAACTTAGACTAAAAAATACAATCTTTAACAATCTAAGCAATGCCTGCAGAGCCGCCGTCGCTGCCCCAGAGCCGCCGTTGCTGCTGTAGAACCGCTGCCGCCGCTCTCGCAAAAGTGCAGCGTTAGCGCCTCGTGTGCGGTGTCGGATGACCGTCGCGGCCGGTGACATAGTTGCGATATATCCGTCGCCACATGACTCTGGTCATTGGCTTCCCCTGAACGCTGGGTCAGCACATACCAATAGTCAGTGGTTAACTACTCCCCCTCTCGAGGATCGACCGTCCTCGGTCGCATTTAAGTTTTCCAATATCTTTGAGATCTTCCGGGAGTTTCGACGCTTGATTGTCAGCCTATGGAGCCAGTAGACTCCAGCCCCCACAGCACAGGCCAACAGCATTATGCCAAAGGAAATCGCCAATGTATTTCCGACTGCAATACTGTCTCTGACCTCTTTGATGTAGTTAAGGTTGTTTTCACTCAGGCGGTGAATGTAGGGAAGGCTGAGTATCGAGTCATGGCCGCTGATGTTAAGCAACGGTGATGCCGCTACCACCGGGAACCGATTTTGCACGCTCTTGCGATTGAAGTATCGCGTGCCATTTACGGTGGCATAGGACGAGAAGGTGACGAGGTTTGTCCCATCTATCTTCATCGCAGTGCATTCGTCGTAGGTGAGTGTTGCGCTACGATCGTTAATGACGATGATGCCGTCGTCCACTATGGTGACAGGGGCAAGATGACTTGGCTGCGTTTGGCAATGGGCTGTACCCCCTGCATGGAGGCCTTGTGCGCAACTGATGCTCTTGGAACGCTTGCAGAATGTGGCAGTCGCAGTTTGTGAGCAATTGGCTACGGCCAACATCTGTCCGTCGCAGTCGGCCACAAGATTGTCGTGGAGTTGGAGCACAGAACCGTTGTGGGCGACTGGGAAAATTGTTATCTTCTTGCATTGCTTACTTATTATAGGGAATTCGATTATCAAACTTATTACATTATCCTTACGCTCTACCTTAATATTAGATACTTTCAATATGTCAGTGATAGGGGTCCCTGTGATTTGGTCAGTGCGAATATTCATAAGATCAGAATGATCTATTATTGTTGGGTTTATTACGTTAATTTTTTCTAGGGTTAAAGTAAGCATAAGGTACCCTATTTCTGTTATTATCTTTTTTTTCTTTTGAGGACTTAATAATTCTGTTAACGGTGTCGGTCAGTTGATTGATCTTTTCCTGCATCCCGGAATTTATAGAAATTTGTCTGTTGTTTGCAGTGACCAGCTGCATCTGAGTCAGTTCTGTTTTCCTGAAGTCGTTTGCGTCCGGGGTGCCCGCTATAACCTTAAGGGCTGTTCCCAAGAAGTCAAGGCTTCTTACCTTGCGATGGTGCACGTCGAGAGCGGACAACATGTCCAGTACATGTCCAGTGTCAATTTCCAGCAATTTCCTCATATGGGATTGTGAAAACATTCCCATCAGCTTCATGGTCTCCTCAGTTATTGTCCTATAGTCCGTGAGATTGGTAGTGTGACGTAAGTATCCGTAACTGTCCCAAAGTAGAATGTCCCCGTCCATAATCGGTATGTAGTCCGCGTGCGAGTAGTCCGTCACCCGAGCCGTTGTCATGGACATGATTGAAAGTATGGTGAACGTAATCCTAAAATGTTGAAACTACTGTTATCGGAATGGTAATGAAAAAAACTGTGCTTTCAATTCAACGGAGGTTGTCCTTGTGGACCACCCTCCCCCCAATGAGGACCGTTGTCCCCAAGTCCGCTTCAACCTTTTTTTCAATGCACAAAGGCGATAGCTTGTTGCCTAGTCTGCGGTTCGTCTTTACCAGGACCTTTTCTCCTACCTCGAAGACTCTGTACCGACGCATTTTATTAACTCTAGCGTTCTGCTGGATTTGGGCCCTTTCTATCCTGCCTCTAACCTCGTGGGTGGATTCCGGAAGCGAGTCAAGCAGGATGTCCTTAGGCTTCTTCTCAACCACTGAGTGAATGGAATTGTTATACTCGATAGTGGCCTGCAGGATAAGGTCGACTGTGTCAACTATAGCCCTTTGGAGCTTTAAGCACCTAGCTATCTCCAGAAGAGTGCTGTGAAAGCGCTCTACCTGACCGTTGGACGTGCTGTGAAGGGGAGGCGCATTTATCACGCTTACGCCGTAGTTATTCAATAGCAGAGACCTGATAGTCTCTGACTTGAATGCGAGCTCATTGTCGCAATACACTTGCTTAGCCGAAGGGAAAATATTCATTAAGACCAGCAGAGGTGGTCTCGTGTCTTCTATCGTTCGAGACGCGATAGGCTGGACTACCGCAAACTTCGAGAACTTGTCAACACAAGAAAGGAAGAACATTTTGTCCGTGGAGAAAATGTCAATGTGCAACAATTCTCCAGTCTGTGAGGGAAGTGGTGTCTGGCCGAGTTCCTGCTTCTTTGGGTGTCTGTCGTATTTTGCTTTCGTGCAAGTTCTACAGTTAAGCACCATTTCATTAGCTAATTTGGTTATTTTAGGGAAATAGTACTCCGTCATGACCCGTTTTACATTTTCCTGAGCCGCCCTATGGGCTCGGTTGTGTTCCCTAGTGATGATTTCTCTTCTATCACTGACGTCGAACACGTCGGCCACGAAGTTTTTGCAATACCAAAACTTCGTAGTCGGAGAGGCTCTTACCAACTCGTGCTGGAAACTGGCCAAGATTGGGAGAGTACAGTGAAACGCATTAACCACGTTTGGGTTAATGATGGCCTTTATCGTTTCGATGAGGGCGACCGTATCGGTAAAGTTTATCAAATGGCAGGTTTTCTCGCCGAAAAGTATGAAATTTCTTTTTAAAGGAAAGCGAGATTCCTCTAATACAACCTGGTTTCGGAAGCAGTTTAAGGGCTTCTCCGTCGAATCGATTGTGTAAGACAGGGACAATTCACTGTGAATCGTGGCCGCGTCAGATTCTGGTTCATCGCGGCTACCCTGCAGGGCGTTCACGTTCTGGCGCGACAGCGCGTCCGCTACATGATTCTCTTTACCAGGCTTATAGAAAAGCTTAGCCCCTGTTTCATCAATGCGCGCTTTCCAGCGCTTTATTTTTGCATTGGGATAGCTCTAGGATACCGAGAACGTGAGAGGCTGGTGATCAGTGAAGATATTTATGTCCCTAACCCCGTAAAGGAAGTGCCGTAACTTACCCAATGCCCAGACGATGGCAAGCAACTTCCGCTCGTTGGTAGCGAAGTTTGCTTCCCTATCTTTTAAGGACCGGGATATCATAGTAATGGGGCGACCATTTTGCGACAAGACAGCACCTATGCCATAGGCTGAAGCGTCTGTGGTCAAGTCAAATGGTTTTTTATAGTCCGGGTACATCAGTATGACGTCTTCCGACGCTAATATGTTCCTAAGCTTCTGGAACGCGTTGCGTTGAGCATCGTTGAATTGTATAGGGACCTTTCTAGACCTGTACTTGCTAATGGATCCGTTTTCCCTTTTCAGGATGTCGGAGATTGGTTTCGCTATTGCTGCAAAAT